CGTCTCCTTCCCCGCCCCGCCTTGTCCCGCGCGCCGGCCCCCAAAGGAGGAAGTCGCGCTCCCGGGCGGCGGCGCGAGGCCGGAGGCGTACCGGGCGCCGCCCGCGGTCCCTGCTAGGTACCCGGCGCTCGCTGATTCACTCTGTCCTCTTCCTCCGCCCCTCCTCCCCCAGTGCACGTGAACCTGGGAGCCAGGAGGACACCTGGCCGTGAGACCTGCCTGGAGCCGCGCTGTTCCCGGATCCTCCCCGGAGTGCCTGAGCGCGCGCTGGGCGCGCCAGAAAGGCTCCTCTCCTCCAGGGCTTTGCCAGCCCTACAGGGGTGGGCATGTTCGTGATAGCAGCACTGGGCAACTCGAAATCTTATGATGGTGACAATTAAGATCCAATTCAAGTCCCTCCATGCATTCATTCAAAAGTTATTAAGTTCCAGCAGTGTGCCTGCCCGGCACAGTGCTAAACCCTTGTGGCTCTTGCAGACGTTAAAAATATTCAGGCAAGTATGTAACGCAAATTGCAATCGGTAATATGAAGAATACTCGTGGAGCACATTTAGGAGATCTATTTAGATGGCGAGGGAGGAGACCGCGGGGTGGGGGTGGGGGTGCGGAATCAGCCAGGAAAGGCCTCACTTTAAAAGTGGCGTCTAAGCTGAGCCTCGGCGAGTGAGTGGGACTTGGGAGAGGAGAAGGCGAGGGTCAGGAGAACAGACACGGTGTGTAAAGGAGCTGGGGGAGGAAAGGGCCAGGGTGGCTGGAGCACGGTGAACAGCTGGGTGCGTGGCCAGAGGTGGAAGCCCAAGCACCGAGCAGGAGCCGGAACGTGGAGGGTCTGGAAGGCCACATGAGGGATGTTTAACTTGATCCTCGGAGCAATGAGCAGCACCGAAGGTTCCAGGCGGAGGAGCGACACAATCTGATTCTCTGGGGGTGTGGAGAAGGGCTTGGCGGAGGGCAAGTTGAAAGATGGAGAATTGCAAGGCTACTACGGAGTAGTTGAAGCGGGAATGGCAGTGGAAACGAACGAGGACACGTTAATTACGTATTTTAAAGACTCTCTGAGGTCTCTGGTCCGCGTGCAGTTCTCCCGGGCTTCCTCCGCGTGCTGCCGTAACCTTCGCAATACCAGCCGGCGCCCCGCAGGTTTCCTGGGGACCGCGCAGCCACAGTTACACCTGCAGGTGCGGAGACGGGGAAGTATTGCAGGCGGGGAGGAAACAACGGAGAGGTCCAACATTGGCCCATTACGTGCTCTTTGGATACCCAGACAGACTCCGTTCACACATGCATTCCTTTTTTCCTCTCTACTTTTTAGCTAAATAAAAACGCTGTTAAAATTTCAAACAGATTTTTCTTTGGGGCTTTGCTTTCTCGAAGGCAGCAGAGCTTAGAGGAAAGAACTAGAGCTTTAGAAATAAGGCTGATCCACGTCTGAATCTCGGAGCAGCCACTGACTGGGATTGATTCTCTCCGGGCCTCAATTTCCTTGGGGAGTATAATACCTAACTTTCCTGGCTGTCACAGAGACAAAATAAAATAGGTATGTGAAGTTCTAGCATGTAAGAGGTATTCGATAAATAGTAGGTTTATCATATTTGTATTGTAAGTAAATTCACATCCATGGAAATATTGAATATTCTCACACACAAAATGTAAAAAGATACTTTGATACGTTGAATTACTTCCTAACTCCAGCTTTCTGTCTGTTCTTTCTCATTATTCTTTCTAAGAAGGTAAGTGGGCAGCTGCTGCTGGCTTCTGGCAGGTGTGGCTCTGAGAACTATGAATGAAGCAAGACAATAGGAACATTGTTTACCAGTGAGGAATTCACAGGGCTCATGAGGCAGGTGGGCTCCCAGGGGTGATCTTTCCCATCTCAGGTAATACCTTGACTGGAATGGAATCATCTATTCCACACCAGAATCCTGAGCCAGATCAGGGGAGAGATTTAGGATCTGGTAACAGTGAGAAAACAAAAAAGCCAGCTGGATCCTACTGCTTTCATTATGCCATTCCTTCCTCGAAAAATAGAAGAAAATCTCTAGGTAAGAGAAGCCTAGTGAAAGAAAAATGTGAAAATACAACAGAATATCAATTATATTTTTGTATATAATAAAATAACTAGGCCTCATTGAATTGATATACTTCAACCACATAGACTTTTATGTTAAGCATGCATACCTGTTTTATTCTACAGAAGATTCCATGTTGATTTTTTATAATGCATATGGAAGCTCAGAACTTAATGTAAAGTTCTGAGATTTTTATTTAAAACAATTATAATTGTTAGGATCCGTCTACAGATCACACGTGCTGAGATTAAAGAACTGCTTATCCTGTGAAACATCTCTCTGGAAGGGTCTCTCACAAGGCTACTTCGCATTTAACCCCTCCCCCCACTTACTATCCTGTCTTTCCTTATTTTGCATATCTTACTGCAGTTTATGCTTATATTTGCTAGTGCTTCTGTAAAAATAGAGAGCAGCTGGTCAGGGCTGCCGCGTTTATATATAAAATATGTATTCTGTATTGCTTAGGAGAGATGAAATTCAAACAGAAATGCAAGCCTTGTATTATTCTAAAGTTGTTAGAAGCTTTAGATTATGGTTCAATGTGACAGCCTCATCTATTTTATCCTTAACATTTAGTGACCCTGATTGTGACTCTATGAAGAAGACCAAATGAGATATAAGCCTTCCAGGCTTCTACTTCCTGAATGCTCTCCCTTTTCCAGTTCCATTTAATAAATACATTTTATTTATTTATTTATTTTTAATATCAACTTTTTTTTTTCCTCGAGGAAGATCAGCCCTGAGCTAACATCCATGCCAATCCTCCTCTTTTTGCTAAGGAAGACTGGCTCTGAGCTAACATCTATTGCCAATCCTCCTCCTGCTTTTTTTT